TATATATAATATATATATATATATATTCACTTCTGTGTGTGTTATTTTTGAAATGTACTAGTAATAAGACCCCTTGCGGAAATAAATGCAACAAGCTCTAGATAGAGTCTGGGGGAGTGTCCCCACCTGCAGCCGTGGCCCGCATCGTTCCCCGCAGATAGCCATATAAAAGGCAGGTGGGGGGGTGAAGATGGGCCAGTGACGGGTGGTGCGCCGCCAAAGGAGAGGCCCCATGCCACCCGCCCCTCCCGGAGGACTCGGGGGGGGAACAGACATATATAGGGGCTATTGTCACCTGGGGGGTGGGAGGAAGAAGGTGCTATTCCTTTTACCATTTGGCCAGAGGGAAAACATCAAGGACTTTTTGTCTGTATGTGCAAAGTTAGATGCTGCGTGATGCCAAAGGAGAGGCCCCATGCCACCCGGCCCTGCCGGCGGCTTCAGAAGCTGGCGAGAGGGGCCAGGAAATCTGGTGGATGACATGGGCATGGGCACAGATTTTAAGCACCCCTGTCCTAGCCCACCATTCTAACTTCCACACCATGCTATTAGATACAGGCTCCAGTCCCGAAGAGTGACTCATGCACAACCCCACCCCTGTCTGTCACTGGGTGATATCCTCCTTCTTTCAGTACCATCTCCCTCAAACATTAGCTAAGTAGTACAATATTAAAAAAGAGATTGGATTTATACCCCACCCTTCACTACCCAAAGGAGTCCCAGAGCGCCTTACTATCTCCTTTCCCTTCCCCTCCCCACAGCAGAAACCCTTTGAGGTTGGTGGGGCTGAGAGAGCTCTCCTGAGAACTGCCCTTGAGAGAATAGCTCTGAGAGAACTTATAACTGACCCAAGGTCACACCAGCAGCTTCATGTGGAGAAGTGGGGGAATCAAACCCGGTTCTCCAAGATTAGAGTCCACGCTCCTAACCACTACACCAAACTGGAACTTGCGTGCTGGTGGAGATGAGGAGGCAGGGCAAGGAGTCGACACTGTTCATATGCTGCTGAGACACTGGCACTTAAGCGGATCCCTTCTGTTTGCATCGGTTTGCTTTCTGGGGGCACAGCTCCTCCTCCTGCAGGCTGGCCATGGCTAAACATTACCCTCTCTCCCTCTCTAGGTTCATCCCAGTTCTACTGTCCAGACCAGACAACCCACCAGGATGGGCGCACTGCAAATAGGCACGGCCGTCTTCGCTTCCATCAGCCTTGGGCTGCTCCTTGCTGCTCTGGCCTCGGACTACTGGGTGGTCAGCACGGACCGCACAGGCCTGTGGCAGTTTTGCCGAGGTTTTATCTGTCGTGCCTATGGGATAAATCCGCCTGGTAAGCACTTCCCTGTCTTGGAATAGGGTGACTAGAGCAAGGGTTTTTAGCAGGGGTCATTTCGTAGAAAAAGAGCTAGGGGAACTCATTAGCATATGCCACACCCCCTGACATCACCGGAAGTGTGTTATAAGGCCACACCCCCTGACATCACCGGAAGTGTGTCATAAGGCCACACGCCCCGCCCTCAACGGTCCGGCGGGTGTGCAAGGAAGCCCCGCGAAGGCCCTCCCTGGCCCCAGGCAGGCAGGGATGGGGAGAGGCAGGGAGGAAGCAACTTACCCTCCCTCTTCTCCTGCCTCCTCCTGGCTGAATGAGGGCCGGAAGCGGGGCACCCGGAAGCAGGGGGCGGGGCTTTGTCATGTGCCCCGCCCCCCGTACCTCACCCGGGGGAACTGCGATCCCCCGCGATCCCCCCCGAAATGACCTCTGGTTTTTAGAAAGTGGGTGTGGCCATGTGAGGCTTTTACCCAACAGGTCTTCTGACTGCCCACTGAAGACCTGATTGGCTAAGCAAGTTAAAATAACACTGTTTCAGTGGCAGAGGCCGCCAGTGTTTAATTTATTCTCTCTCACACCTGGAGAAGAGGCTGTCCTCACTTTCTAGCCAATGAGAAACTTGTACTAGCCCGTCTGTCCACAAGATATGTGTGTGTGTGGGGGGGTCTCGGATAGCTTTTCTTCATCCTCTTCTCTCCCTCAGGCAGATCTCTCAGCAAGCGAGCCGGCATCCAAAGTTTCTCATGGAAGAGGCAGGAGGAGTTCTCTCCCCCCGACTTCCACAGTTCCATTTTCCTGACCCGTAATAATCCTGAGGTGTCACGGTTTGCCACATCAGAGAAACTACTTATGTGCCCAGGCAGGTTACACCTGTACCCAGAGGCTACATGAAAGGGCCTGACTAGAGAAGATGTGTGTCCCAGGGTTCACTTCAGGGACACACACCGCCATTTTAAGTGCATACATTCCCACCCAGAAACTCCTTTAAACTGCACTGCGGGGGAACAGTTCCAGCCGGGACCACCACTGCATAGGGAGAGGATGGGATCCTACCTCCCCCCTCCTCCATTTTTCTGACCCGAAACAGCATGCGGAAGAAGAAGATAAGGGATTTATACAGGGGTCATTTCGTAGAAGAAGAGGTGCGGGAGCTCATTAGCATAACACATTAGCATAACTCATTAGCATATGCCACACCCCCTGACATCAGATGGAAGGGGAGGGGATTTAAACCCCTTTCCCTTCCATGGCTTCCCCGCGCAGCTGCGTAGGGCGTGGGCAAGCCGGCACCTTAGATGGAAGGGTAGGGGATTTAAACCCCCTTCCCTTCCATGGCTTGCCCATGCACCGCGCGGCTGCATGGGATGCAGGCAAGCCGGCAGCTTAGATCGAAGGGGGGGATTTAAACCCCTTCCCTTCCATGGCTTGCCCGTGCTCCGCACAGCTGCGGGGGGCGCAGACAAGCCAGCTCGTTAGATGGAAGGGGAGGGGTTTAAACCCCCTTCTCTCCCATGGCTTGCCCGTGCTCCATGTGGCTGCGTGGGGTGTGGGCAAGCCAGTACCTTAGATGGAAGGGGAGGGGATTTAAACCCCCTTCCCTTCCATGGCTTGCCCGTGCTCCTCACTCCCGGAGTGCCACTCCTGTGCCGACCCCTGGATTTATACCCTGCCCTTCACTACTTGAAGGAGTCTCAGAGTGTCTTACAATCTCCTTTCCATTCCTCTCCCCACAACAGACACCCTGTGAGGTAGGTGGGGCTGAGGGAGCTCTCTCAAGAACTGCTCTTGAGAGAACAGCTGTGAGAGAACTTATGACTGACCCAAGGTCACACCAGCAGCTTCAAGTGGAGAAGGGGGGGAATCAAAGCCGGTTCTCTCATATTAGAGTCTGCACTACTAACCACTACACCAAACTGGCTCCCCCCATGCAGCAGTGTTCCCAGATGGAATCATCCCCCCCAGCACAGCTTAAAGGAATTCCCAGGTCAGAAGTCACTGTTTAAAATGGTGGCACGTCCATGGGGCAAACCCAGGGTCACCCATCTTGCCTGGTTTGGCCCTCAGCCAGTTTGGTGTAGTGAGCCAGTTTGGTGTAGTGGTTAAGTGTGCGGACTCTAATCTGGGAGAACCGGGTTTGATTCCCCACTCCTCCACTTGCACCTGCTGATGTGACCTTGGGTCAGTCACAAGCTCTGGCACAGCTGTCCTTGAAAAAGAGCAGTTTGTGTCAGAGTTCTCTCAGCCCCACCCACCTCACAGGGTGTCTGTTGTGGGGAGGGGAAGGGAAAGGAGTTTCTGAGACTCCAAGTGAAGGGCGAGGTATAAATCCAATCTCTTCTTCTTCTTCTTCTCTTCAGCTTTGCCAGTGATTCAAACACCAGCTCCCCACACGATTTCCTGTTGGGATAAAGTCCATCTCTCCTCAGTCCTGGGACTTCATGTACCTGAGAATTAAATTCTAAGCAAGAAACTCTCAAGTCATGTATGATTGACAGGACCGGGGAAGATAGTTCCAGAGGGTAGCTGTCTTGGTCTGCAGTAGAACGAGTAGATTCGGGTCCAGTAGAACCTTCGAGACCAACACAGTTTTCAGGTTATATTTTGGGGTATCTGACAAAGGCAGTTTTGACTCTTGACTTCCCCTTAAAATCTTGTTGGGTCTCTCAGGTGCTACTGGACTCAAATCTAACTTTAGGACTGGGAAGGATGTTCTAATGTGTGGATTGGCTTGGATGCGAGAGAGAGACTGCAGTGAACGCCCGGGCAAGAAGCATGGTCATATGCACTGCCGCATGCACTCAACAGAACCTATATGCCCCATCGTCCTTTCAGTCTCTTCTCAGGGCCTCCTGTTTCAGCTCTTCCCCATATCCCATGTAAGTGACAACTTAGAAAAGACCAAGGTGTAAGTGATGTGGCATACACCCCATGCACTTGTTCAGGCGACACGAGTGGAATGCTGGAGCCAGTGTTCCCTCTAAGCTGAGTTAGTGTGAGCTAGCGCACAGGTTTTTTTAGCCTCCGGCTCACACATTTTTGGTCTTAGCTCAGGAAGGATGGCTCCAGAGCAAACTAATTTATGCAGTAACCAAATTGCTCGCTCACAACTTTTATGCCAGCAGCTCACAAAGTAGGATTGTGGCTCACAAAAACTCCACAGCTTAGAGGGAGCATTGGCCTGGAACCCTCATCTGAGGCGACCATTTAGGTCAAGAGTCGACAGATTACAGGGCTATTTTTGGACAGGAACGCACAGGAACAGAGTTCCGGCTGGCTCCTGAGTTGGCCACGCCCAGCAGGAACTCATTAGCATAATAGGCTACAGCCACACCCAACATCAGAAACTCATTAGGATTGGCTACATTAGGGGTGTATGGCCTAACATGCAAAGGAGTTCCTGCTACAAAAAAAGCCCTGGTTGACAACAAGGTAAACAGAATAAGAAGCAAAAGGTGGGTGTGGCTGGATGACCACACTTCTGGTAACATGGGGGTATGGCCTAATATGCTAATGTGCTTCCAAGGGTGTGGCCTAATATGCTAACGAGTGTCTGCTGTTGGGTGTGGCCTATTATGCTCATGAGTTGCTGCTGGATTTTTTCTACAAAAAAACCCCTGGGCAGATAGATTCAGACCTATCTTCCCCATCACGTTACTGCTAACTCTTTTTTCTTTCTTCCTCCAGTTCTAGAAACCCATCAGATAAACCATCCTAGTTCCTAGAAGTATTGGGAAACTCGGTAGCAAAATAACAGCCACACAAACAGAGGCCGGTAAAGATCAAGATGGGTAGCCATGTTAGTCTGTCTACAGCAGTAGAAAGGAGCAAGAGTCCAGGAGTACCTGAAGAGCCAGTTTGGTGTAGTGGTTAAGTGCACGGACTCTAATCTGGGAGAACCGGGTTCGATTTCCCACTCCTCCACATGCAGCTGCTGGCGTGACCTTGGGTCAGTCACAAGTTCTCTCAGATCTGTTCTCTCAAGGGCAGTTCTCAAAAGAGCTCTCTCAGCCCCACCTAGCTCACAGGGTGTCTGTTGTGGGGAGGGGAAGGGAAAGGAGTTTGTAAGGCGCTCTGAAACTCTGAGTGAATGGCGGGGTATAAATCCAATAATCTCCTCCTCCTCCTCCTTCTGGACTGACAGCATTTGTGGCAGGGTAGGAGCTTTCATGAGCAGCCTTTAAGGTGCTCCTGGACAGTGTTCCCTCTAAGCTGTGAAGTCTTGTGAGCAAAAATTCCATTTCGTGAGCTGAGTGAGTGATTCGGTTACTGCATAAACTAGTTTGCTCTGGAGCGATCCCTCCTGAGCTAAGACAAAAATGTGTGAGCCGGAGGCTAAAAAACTTTGAGCTAGCTCACCTTAACTCAGCTTAGAGGGAACAGTGCGTCCTGGACTTTTGCTCTTTTCTAGAGGCCAGTAAGCCAGAGATTTCAAGACTGGGGTGTAGAAATGAGGGCTGCTCCCACATTTCTACAACTGATCCTCAGACTACAGAGATCAGTTCCCTTGGAGGACACAGCTAACTTGGAGGATAGACTCTGTGGCAGGGGTCGTTTCGTAGAAAAAGAGCCAGGGGAACTCATTAGCATAACTCATTAGCATATGCCACACCCCCTGACATCACCTGAAGTGTGTAATAAGGCCACACACCCTGCCCCCAATGGTCCCGGCCGCCGCCAGCCTTGCAGCTTCACTGCCGAGCCCCATGAGGGGCCCGGCGATGGACCTGCAAGGCCGGCGGGAGTGCAAGGAAACCCCGCGAAGGCCCTCCCTGGCCCCAGGCAGGCAGGGGTGGGGAGAGGCAGGAGGAAGCAACTTACCCTCCCTCTTCGCCTGCCTCCTCCTGGCTGAATGAGGGCCGGAAGCAGGGCGGCCGGAAGCGGAGGGCGGGGTGTCGTCATGTGCCCCGCCCCCCATACCTCACCTGGGGGAACTGCGATCCCCCACGATTCCCCCCAAAATGACCTCTGCTCTGTGGTATTATATCCAATTGAGGTCCCTCCCCTCCCCAAACCTTGCCCTCCCTAGGTTCCACTCCCAAATCTCCAACGACTTGCCAGCCCAGAGGTGGAGAAACTCACAGACCTAAACGTATTGGGCTGTGGTTGCAAATACCCATATCTAGGTCTTTAATTGCCTCCCGCTTGTGGTGGCGGAGGAGAGATAACACCAAGGATGAGAGGCCAGTGAAAGCTGTGGGGAAACTGTGCCTAAAGAATATGTACAAAGCTGAAAATTAAGAACAATCTTGAAATGATGAAGAGTGACCTTACCATAGAGTTTCTGGCCCTTTTCACTTTTAGGTAACTCTAGGAATTGCCAGGAGCCTGTGGTCAGAACTTCTGGCACTGCTTGGCAACCCTAGCTGTGAGCCCCTGTTTGTGCAGCTATTTGCAAGGAAATAAGAAGGAAATCTCACCGGCTGGTCTGTCCCGTAGCAGCCGGCAATGTGCTTGGCTCTACTAGGTGCAGAAGTCATCTTCTCCTGTGAAATCCTGTGTTGCTTACCAATTGACGCATACGGTCGCCTTCCCTTTTTCTCTCTCTTTTCTTGTCCACTGTAGACTATATCCATGCCACTCGAGCCTTCCTCCTCATGGGGGCTATCGCTGGTGCCTTCTCCTTCTTCGTTCTCTGGGCCTTGGTTTCCCGTTGTTACGCTGGATCTGTCTCAGCAGCCAAGATCGCAGCCATAGCCAGCTTCGTGGCAGGTATTCCATCAAAGAGGGTTGCAATGTGAAGATGAGAGGAAGACCCTTTTCTCCTCACATAACAGCAGACCTTGATCAATAGATGGGCAGTGGATCTAACTTTGCAAATGATCTCTTGTCATGACTTCTGAATTCCCAGCTTTCATTTTTAAAGAAGTCTCTAGCCCTGTTCTTTGCAGAGTTATAAGGGGAGAGCCATACCACACCTTTCCCCTTATAACTCCACAAAGAAAAGAACCAGAGACTTAATTTTTAAAAGTTGAAAGCTGAGAATTCAGAAACTGTGGCTATAGGCATTGGAACACTGGAACGTTCTCAAAGCAATGACCAGTTTTTAAAATGTCCTCAGAAAGCCCTCAGGTGGCAGGGCGGAGGAAATGGTGCCCACAGCTGCAGAAAAAGCCGAGTGCACCAGACTGCAGTGTTCAGAAGCACTACAATGAAGCAGCCTAGCAAACTGCCATGAATGGTTCAGTGTGATCAGTCAAATCGATCCTCCAAAAACTGACTCTCGGTTTATAACCAGTGCGCAGGACTTATACTGAACTGGACTAGATAGACTGTTGGTCTGTTCCAGCAGGAATCTTTTTAGGGTTTTGTTGTTGTTGTCATTTTCAAGACATCCCACATATATTTCCATCAGGTCTGCTCTCTAGCAAGGGTGGATGGGAGCTTTGCAGGCATATGTAGATCCCAAGGGATATTAATATCTCTCCTCTTCCACCCCTAGGTCTTTGTGCCCTGATCGGCATGTCCGTTTTCACAGGAGTGTACAATAGTAACTTCAGAGAGGGGCAATATGGATGGTCCCTTGCTGTAGGATGGGCCTCTGGCCCTCTCTTCCTGTTAACGGGTGAGTATGAGCCAAAAAGGGTTGCGTTTATTCCTCCCCACACCCTTGAGACTTATTAGGCCTCTCTAGTATGTTTCATCACCACATGATTGTGCTTCGTATGAAGGAGTCTTCCTGGGATTATAACATTTTATGCTGCACGGGGAGATAAATCCTTCCCCATGTAAATAGGGTTGGGGCAGGGAGACTGGGGTGTGTCATTATTGTGCTATGACATCACTCCCAGGGGAAACCCAAAAGTAACGTAGGGTAGCTCTAGGAATCACTGAGACACTGTGATTTCCTCTGTTTCTTAAATTATCTTTCTCCTGCCGCCAGTGCTCCCTCTAAGCTGTGGAGTCTTGTGAGCAAAAATTCTACTTGGTGAGCTACTGGCATTAAAGTTGTGAGCAAGCAATTTGGCTACTGCATAAATGAGTTTGCTCTGGAGCCATCCTTCCTGAGCTAAGAGAAAAATGTGTCAGCCGGAGACTAAAAAACTGGGAGCTGGCTCACACTAACTCAGCTTAGAGGGAACACTGCCTGCCGCCACTCGGAGCTGTGTTGGTCCAAGAAAACTGCCAGTAGGGAGTCTTCCATAATAGCAGAATGCCTGGCAGCCCGATGTTGGCATCCCGAATCACCAACATACCATATGTCCAAATTTAAGACTAGCCTATATGTTCGGGAGCCAGTGGCTTCTTCAGTGAAGTCTTTGAGGACTCTCCAAGTTTATTACCAAGTATTAGTGGTTTTGGGACACCCCTAGTTATCACTGGGAGAATTTTGTTTCTTGGTTAAAAGAAGTTTCAGAATACTCCAAAGGTGTGTGTGAATTCGCTGGAACTGAATAGGTCTTGAGAACATAGGGGAATACGAGAAGCCATGTTCGATCAGGCCAATGGCCCATCCAGTCTAGCGCTCTGTGTCACACAGTGGCCAGAACCCAGGTGAAGAAGAAGAGAAGAGATTGGATTTATACCCCGCCCTTCACTACCCAAAGGTGTCTCAGAGCGGCTTACAAACTCCTTTCCCTTCCCCTCCCCACAACAAACACCCTGTGAGATAGGTGGGGCTGAGAGAGCTCTGACAGAAACTGCTCTTTTTCAAGAACAACTCTTATCAGAACTACGGCTTGCCCAAGGTCATCCAGCCAGGTGCAAGTGGAGGAGTGGTTCTCCCAGATTAGAGTCCATGCACTTAACCACTATACCAAACTGTTGTATTGAGGTGCCATGGGAAGGTCCACCAGTACGGCCAGAACTCCAGAAGCCCTCCCACTGTTGCTCCCCAAGCACTAAGAATACAGAGCAGCACGTGCCCCAGACTGAGAGTTCCATCTGTACTTTGTGGCTAATAACTACTCACGGACCTCTTCTCCATGCTTATCCAATCCCCTCTTGAAGCTGTCTATGCTTGTAGCCGCCACTGCTTCCTATGGCAGTGAATTCCACATGTTAATTACTCTTTGGGTGAAGAAGTCCTTCCTTTTATCTGTTCTAAGCCTACTGCTCATCAATTTCATTGACTGCTGGCGAGTTCTTGTGTTGTGAGAAAGGGAGAAAATCACTTCTTTCTCTACCTTCTCTCTCCCATGCATAACTTTGTAAGCCTCAATCATGTCACCCCTCAGTCGTCATTTCTCCAGGCTAAAGAGCCCTAACTTCTTTAACCTTTCCTCATGGGGAAGGTGTGCCACCCCCTTAATCATTTTATTTGCCCTTTCTTGCACCTTTTCCAATGCTACATATCTTTTTTTTATATATAATTTTTATTTTCAATTTTCAGTGAGAAAACAAAATTCAAGTATACGTAATTGTCATACACTTTGGGTTACATCAGACATTCTCTTCAATCCATTTATTAACTTTTCGCCATTTTTGTTTATAGTTACTTTCTGCTTTTCCCGACAAGAACATATTCAGCTTGTTCATTTCTACTATTTCCAAAATGTTCATGATCATCTCCTCTCTACTCGGTATCCTATCCATTTTCCAACCCTTTGCAATGAGGACCCTTGCTTTTGCGAGTATATATAGTATGATACATAATTGGACTCCCGATAAGTTGCTTAAATGTTATGCAAATGTATCTGGAAACTGTTGGAGATGTAGAAATAACACAGGAACATATTTTCATATATGGTGGTGATGCGAGAAAATACAGACATTTTGGAAAGGCATTAAGCTTTTAATAAAAGAAATTACAGAGATAGAATTACCATTAGTACCAGAAATGTACTTACTTAATATAACACCAGATGGAATTAAATACAATGCTACGTATCTTTTTTGAAGTGCAGTGACCAGAACTGTACACAGTATTCCGAATGGGGCCACACCATAGGATGATGCCAGGGACACAAAGAGGCTGGCGGTCCAGATGCTTCTGGTGAGGCTCCATTCGACTTAATCTTCTACCCCACTCACATTGCTCTTCTCTCCGGACAGGTGGGCTTGCTTTCCAGATGCATGCTGGGAGAGAGATGTAAACTCGGGAGGAAGACCATTCTGCCTTTGAGATGACGTCCACAGCTGGGTTGGCAGTGTGAGGCTCCGACAGAGCCTGCATTGGGGCAAGGTGGACCTGGACCAGATTTTTATCCCCCGAAAAGCAGCATCTTCTTTTGAAGGCAGAAGACTGGGTCTGAATTCAGACTTGGGAATCCCCTCATTTTCTTTGCCCGTCCCTGTCTGTAAAGCACAAGAGCTTTCCCCCCCTTCTTCACTGAATGAGTTTCTTTCCATCAGTTGAAATGAACCTGAGGCCCTTTCCGCACTTGGATCTCATCCCTGGTTTTATCCGTGACACAAATACCTTGCATTTATCCCTGGTTATAACAGCATCCGTTTATCCCAGGACAAGTGTCGGGCAAAACCAGGGTGACCTCAATGTAATGTGGAAACAAAAAATACCCCGAGATAATTACAGGGGTGAACTCGTGTGTAATGTAGAATGTAAGCTCAGGGACAGGGTTGAACCAGGATTTAAGGTCTAGTGCGGAAAGGACCTGGGTTTGGTGGCGTATCGAGCTTTCCAAATTTGCTTCTAGTTTTTGCAAACATTATGTTTTGTTCCTGTCTGTTTGCTCCTTTCCAAAACCCCTCTGTGACGCTAGCATCACACTCTTATCGGGTAGTTGTGACAACAAAAGAGGTGGGGGATTATGTGATATTTTGCACTCCAAGGGCCGATTCACACGTAACCCTGTAGCAAACCTGGGTTTGCTTTTGAGTATTTATATGCTTCCTGTACAGCTGCAGTAAATCAAGCTTCCAAATAAGTCTACGATAGACTATAAAGTTAGGGTTGCCATTTCCAGGTTGGGAAACCCCTGGAGATTTGCAGGTAAAGACTACGGAGGGTCAGATTTATGGAGGGAGGGGACCTCAGTGGGGTATACTGCCCTCTTTCTCACTGCTGGGAGATGGGGGATGAAGTGTAGTGGGTTAGACGCATGTAGAAACCACTGAGACCGATGTATTGATCAGCATGGTTTACTGGTATACAACAAAGACTAAGACTAACGGCCGGCTGGCCAACTATATACATACCTGGGGACACTCCCCTGGGTCCCGTTGGTGGGTTTAAATCTCCCGCCATGGTCCTATTGGTTCCCCAGTGGAGAGACTAGGAGCCTAGTCCCCATTTTTCTTACTGAGTCAAGCTCGGGGGGGGGTATTCGCTGGCCCCTGGTGGTGGTCAGCGGACATAACAGGGGAGTAGGGTTGTCAAATCCAGAATGGGAATTTCCTGGAGATTTAGGGATGGAGCCTGAGGCGCACAGGGACCTCAGTGGGGTCCGCCCTCCAAAGCTTCCATTTCCTCCAGGGGAGCTGATCTCTGTAGTCTGGAGACGAGGTGTAATTCTGAAGGATCCCCAGGTCCCACCTGGAGGTTGGGATCCTTACGTCTGGAGAGCAGTTGTTATTCCTGGAGCTGTTATTCAGGCTCCATCTGTTGGTTAGCAACTCTATATACAAGAGACTTTTGGCATTCAAGGATTCGTGATTTCACCTATTAATGGTCCGGGATTTGATCACATGCCATGGGTTCTCTCCTGTTTTTACCCCACCGCACCCGTCATCACAATCACTAAATTGTTAACTTTTGCATGAAATGGGGGGGGGGGGGGTCTTGCAGGGGACAATAGACCCTTCCCCC